AGTTCAGATTACTGTTCTTTTTGGGCAAAAAATAATCCTATTTTCATTCCTTTAATTAGAAGTGTACTGTATGAATTTGGCATTTTGGTTACCTAAATTATTGCAAATTTTTCTAGGGATTGAAATATGCGAGAGGCTCTCGACGATGGGAATAGCAGTGAATCTTGTGACATACTTGGGTGGAACAATGCATCTGCCTAGTGCAACCTCAGCCAACATCGTAACAGATTTTATGGGCACATCGTTTCTCTTGTGTTTGCTCGGAGGCTTCCTTGCAGATTCTTTCTTAGGCAGATACAAGACGATTACGATCTTTGCCGTAGTTCAAACACTGGTAAGTATTTATGGTTACAATTGTAACACATATAGCTCACAATGTCACATAGAATATTAGCTTGACTTTGTTTTAACTGTGTAACTGAGGTTATTTTTCAACGGCGATAATGATTAATCAGGGCACTGGCATGCTAGCAATATCTACGAGACTGCCAGAACTACACCCGCCCCATTGCAACACTCTGGCAATCAGCACATGTAAACAAGCTAATGGATTCCAAATGGGTGTTCTATACATGGCCCTATATCTAATTGCGCTAGGGACTGGTGGCCTTAAATCAAGCGTCTCAGGATTTGGAACTGATCAATTCGATGAGAAAGATGAAAAGGAGAAGGTCCAGATGGCCTACTTCTTTAATAGGTTCGTCTTCTTCATTAGCACAGGGACATTGATGGCTGTTACAGTACTGGTCTACATACAAGATGAAGTGGGACGAAGTTGGGCTTACGGAATTTGTTCTGTCTCTATGTTTATTTGCATTTTGATATTTCTATCAGGGACTAAAAGATATAGATACAAGAAAAGGTTAGGAAGCCCCATAGTCCACATTTTCCAAGTTATTGTAGCTGCTACAAGGAAGAGGAAAATGGATTCTCCTTTTAATGTCAGCTTATTATATGAGGATTCTCCGGAGGCTTTGAGAATCCAGCACACAGATCAGTTCTGGTGAGTAAAATTTTGTAATATAGTCCTAATTCTGTTGCACTATTGCATTCATGGACACTAGAAATTTCTCTCTATGTTAGATCAACTTATGGAGAGTTCTTAGTTGTCTTTCGCTCTCTACTATTAGCTTTAATAATATATTGCATAATTTTTTTCCTTGATAATGATATTGCCGACGGTGCTGTTGCTGCTGCTGCTGTTGACGTTCTTCTTCTAATTATTGTTACTAGTGGGCCACACTTGCGATGCATGTAAGAGGGAAGAGGGAGAGAGAGTGGAAAGAAGGACCCTAGCTAGGGAGACTCACGTGATGCACATGTATCAGAGGGGAGACATGGGAGAGAGAAAATGTATTAGAAATGGTGGGTTGTGTCATGTGTGGCAGTTGAAAACATATAGAGAGTGGGAGAGTGTGAGAGAAACTAAGAGTAAATAGTTGATGGAATCAGCCCTATGGCCCCTATCTAAGAGGATTGAAGTCAATGAATTTGAAATGACTTCAATACCCTTAAATATCTATTCATTAAATAGTAATAGGATAATATAATATTTGGTTTTTTGTCATAATAATAAAAAAAAATCAATCAACGCCACCTGCCCGTCCTTCTCTCATTATAATAGTAGATATTACCACTGTTACCTCATTCTCTCATTATAATAGTAGATATTATCACTGCTATTTTTATTTTTGAATCTTTGATGGCAACTAAAATAAATTACAATTATGCCCAACAGAAATATATTAAAATGTGCAACATTATTATTTTTGATTGGTACGTGCAACATTTTGAATATAAGGAAATTTTATTCAAGTATTTATGGGAATTTTTTTTATATAAACTCGTTAACTCAATGCTTTCTATTGTAGTTTCTTGGACAAGGCTGCGATTATTGCAGAGGGAGATTATGAAAAAAATGGTTCCTCATATCCAAGCCCTTGGAAACTATGTTCAGTGACAAGGGTGGAGGAGTTGAAAATGATGGTCAGACTACTACCAATTTGGGCAACAACAATCATGTTTTGGACCACATACGCACAATTGATCACCTTCTCGGTAGAGCAAGCCTCCACTATGGAGAGATGGATTGGGGATTTCCAAATTCCGGCAGGATCGCTCACAGTCTTCTTTGTGGGAGCCATATTGGTCACTTTGACAGTTTATGACCGTTTTATCATGCCTCTTTGGAAAAAATGGAAAGGGAAACAAGGTAAGAATGATATACATATATACACACCTTGTTGTGCAAAGTGTCTTGCATTCAGCTTGTTTAGACTTTAGTTCTGCACACTCGGCCCCCCTCATTTAAACTCATACCCTAGTTCACACGCACACCTATACAGTCCATATGATTTTGGGGTTTCCTAATTGTACTAGGAGTCTGTTTCAAGTTCTGTTACTAACTGGGTATATAATATGATATTCGGTCTAGTATTTTCTATTCTGTAGAGACCAGTTTGTACGAGAGGCTGTGAGAGAGTGATCTTTGTAATCTCTTTGCTTTTCACTACTGAAGAAGATGACCTCTCCATGGACGTAGCCCACACTGGGTGAACCACGTAAATCCTGTGTGTTTTTGTTTTTTCTATTTGCAGGTTATTTCACTACACACACTGACACACACACACACACACCTACATACATACATGCATTCATACATACATACAAGTGTTTTGAACAAGGTGTGCTTAAGATAATGAATTTTTGAGAACATGACACAGAACATTCTCTGTCTTGTCTTTTGAATAGGTTTCACGAGCCTTCAGAGAATTTCCATAGGCCTCATCTTCTCCATAGTGGGAATGGCAGCTGCAGCACTTGGCGAAGTGAAACGATTGTCTGTGGCAAGATCTGTTGGTGCAACCATCTCAACTCTACCCATAAGTGCTTTCTTATTGATCCCACAATTCTTCTTGGTGGGCACCGGAGAAGCATTCATATACATTGGTCAGCTCGATTTCTTCATTACTCAATCTCCACAAGGGATGAAGACTATGAGCACTGGTCTCTTCCTTACAACTCTTTCGCTCGGCTTCTTTGTTAGTAGCTTCCTTGTTTCAGTTGTGAAGAGAGTTACAGGAAGCAATGATGGTAAAGGATGGCTAGCCGATAACATTAACAATGGAAGACTCGATTGTTTCTACGGACTAATAGCCATCTTAAGCTTCATTAACTTTGGATTCTATCTTCTCTGCGCCATGTGGTACAAGCCACAAACACCTAAACCTGATTTGCAGATGGAGAGTGTTAATGGTTCCTCTGCTGAGGAGAAGGGCTAGTGATTGGTAGGGGACTGCATTTTGTTTTGTTTGCAAATGTATACTAGGGGCAGCTTGGGTTGGATTTTTCTTCTTTCTTGTATAGGGTTTGTTGTTTTGTAACCTTGAAATTATCAAATGCATTCCTTGAGTTTTCTTTTATATATATATATATTTTTTTATATAATCAGCAATACAACTAACAACAGACAAAAGGAAAGCTAGGATCCCGAATAAACTTAGAGCACGGAAGATACCTAGAATTGAATGCAGAAGAACTCTTCAAAGCTTTTGATGCAATCTCATGCGTCGTGATTAATCAAATTTATCGAACGACACATTTCTTTTCTTTAAAATCATGGGTGACACATTTCTTTAATATTATGGGTAATAGCCTGGATCATCCCACAAGAAGGATAAGAAACATATACCATGGATCGTCCCACAGCAATGATAAGAAGCATATACCTACGACTGCATTAAGGACAACTGCTTTCCAACCACTCTCCATTGCCAATAACGCCCTTTGAAGGACAACATACACCTCCCCTACAATAGCTAGATTACCAAACGACTAGAAGTACGACGAGCAATGATATGACCAAAATGGATGAGCAATGATATGACCAAAATGATCTCGGACACAAAGGCCGGTGGCTATATGTACTCCATCAGAGGATACCACCCCATCGCAATTTAACTTTGTCCACCCTCAAGGAGGAGGAGATTAAGAATTAGACATGGTCAAACCGGGAGTGTGAACTCTACTCCCACTCAAAGAACGTTCCCTACTAGTGACACAAACACCTTGAATCTCTACAGCATCTCTACAGCAAACTCCCTGATTCTAATAATAGTTGCACAAGGATCAATCGGCCTGCCCTCAAACAACTTCTTATTCTGAGCATTCTAGATACACCATATCAACGAGATGATATGTATCAAAAACTCATTCATGTCTCCCCTCTTCCTATCCATATCATGAAGATTAATCCACCATTGAGCAAAAGAAAGGTGGTTAGTCATTATGTCCCAACCTGGAATCGCAGCACCAAACTAGGTACACTTCGCATGTGAACAGAGAAGCAAAGTATGATGTGTTGACTAGGGCTGGCCTGTCCATTAAGCCATCAAAGCCTTTGCTTTAGGCCCCCATTAAAAAAATAATATTAAAAAGGCCCTATTTAGAATATTAAAAAACATAAAAGGCCCATTTAGAATATTAAAAAGGTCCTATTTATAGTTAATTTTTATTAATAATATTAAAAAATTAAAAAAAAAGCCTCATTTAGAATTTTCGCTTTAAGCCTCCAAATGGCTTTGGGCCAGCCCGGTGTTGACTCTTCAACCTTTCCACAAATTTGACAAATATTGGTGTCCTAGATCTTTCACCGAAGAAGATTGGCCTAAACCGCTAGAGAGTTTGTGAGTCCCCTCCATATGAATACTTTAATTTTGGAGGAATTTTAAGGGTCCATAAATCTTCCCAAACCTTGTGAAACAGTTTTATTTTAGCTCATTTGCACGGTGATTTGCAACGTCTTCATCGTTTGTAGGAGTTGCTCGGTCATTACAAGGCTCTGTGGAACACCTAATCATTACAATTATATCGAGATAAGCGGCTAATTGGTGCCTTAAGGCTTGGGATATTTCTATGACACAAATGTGAGGATTATGGAGTGTAAAATGTTAAAATGACACAAGAAGATGAGTGCTTTTTTTGGAAGGTTTTTAAAAGGAGGGGTGCAACACGAGGACTATTCACGAGGTCACCCATTCTAGTACTACTCTCGCCTAAGTACCCTTAATTGCATAGTTTTGATGAGATCCGGTGCATTAGTGATTCAACCAGAAACATGTGTACTAGAGCGGCGCACACACAGTGTGAGCAACATCTATGGTGACCATGGAAGGTCTTAAGCATGACACTTTGTTCTCTTAATTCATTCATCCATCGTATATTAGAATAGCAATCTGGTCTTATTGATAGTTTAAACTTCTATGAAATCTTGATGTAGAACAGCTGAACAGGTTGTGGATGAAAATTTGGAATGCCTGAATCAGATGAGCCCGGGCGAATGGACAAATAAATTACATCCGCGCATCCTAGCATTCAAACAAAGAGGGTAACTTTGCACACAGTTATCAAAATCGATATCATAATATATAATTGAAAAGCTAACGACGAAACCTATGACTATCCAAATTTACTATTTTTAACAATTTTCTGTTTTACTATTATCAAGTCCATTTGGAATTCTGGGGGTCTAACTTGGTTAGGAAATTCTCTTACTAAAAGTCTATTTTTTTCTATTTTTGAAAACTCTACTATTTTGGATCAGTTTGCTTTGGAAGGAAGTTAGACAAATTCGGAATCTGGATCTTTATTTAAGTCGAATATGATCCAGCCCTAGCCCTTGAGGGCAGGGATAGAGCCTAACCAGTACATGGCCTTCATCAAGGGTGTTATGTGCCTTGATTAAGTAAATTGATTTTTCGTCCCTTGTCAGGCCAGTCTTCGAGGAGGATGGGTTGAGGCACTTATCAATGGTATTAGAGGTAGGTTTCACGTCTCGAGTTCGAGTCACGGGGGTGTCACGGTAAGGACAGCTTGGAGTGGGATATGGGCCCACTTGGTTCGTGGCTCACTGCCTGAGGTGGGTTAGGGGGTCCACTCGGTTCGCGATGCAGTGATTGCCGTTTGTTATGTGACTTGATTAAGTAAATTGATCTTCCATCCCTTGTTAGGTCAGTGTTTTAAGGAGTATTGGTCGAGACACTTATCAAAGGGCTAGGGCCAAACTAGGGCTCTGCCCTTATTAATGAGGGCTGGGCTTTGACAGCCCCTATTTATACCCAAGGCTAAACACCTCTTTTTAGAATGTCCAAATTCCCCATATGAAGGTTTCACCTTCTTTGGGAAAATATTATAGATTGGGGTTGTAGATATCCGAACTCCATCTAAAGTAAGATGGAATGTTTGAAACACCTTATAATTAAGAAGATTAGAAACATAGAGAGCGACCCATGTTATCATTGCACTAAAGGCAAATCTCTCTCTCTCTCTCACATAGTCTCGTGTGAATGATTTGGCTCACTCATTGTTTATAACTGCATCGAAATACATTCCATGCAATGTCATTGTCGTTATCATTGTTTTTCATCATCCTCATCCAAGTTGGCTAGACTTTTACCGCAACCACCAGCAACAGCATTTTCTCTCCATTACCTAGTCAAGTCAAGGGTTTGATAGATTGTACAAGACTTCTAATCTAAAAGACAATCATAAACTATTCAAACACTTATTAATACATACATATAGATACGTTAATTTTCCATTCTTCTTTCTTTTAAGGGGCATTCTGTATTGCTTAGTTAGTCCTATTATGAATGAAGAAAATCTCACTTCAATCCATAAAGGGCATTGTTTATACGTATATAAGAGCCAAACAAACAGACTTCTTATATAAAGGTCTTTCCTTTCCTTACCTGTCTTATTCGCATCCGTCTCTATTCTTTTAATCAGCTTGAAATCTATTCTTTTCTTTAGATTCAGCAGGTTTGGCTATTCAAATAGAAAGTATTGGTTTGGAAATAGAGAAGTTGGAAGGGTTACTTCTGTACTTATTGGTTTGGAAATAGAGAAGCTAGAAGGGTTAATTCTGTACTTCTGGCTGTATCGGGGAGATAATTCACTTAAATACAATTTACAATTGATATTAATTGCCTAATACCCAGCTTCATACAATTGCATTACGAGCAAATATTGTAAACAAAAGTCCATGCCTTGGGTCCATAGGTTGCTGCTAAGAGCAGCACCATGGTTCTTCCCAATCTATGTGTTGTGTTGGCTGGAAATCTGGTTTGTCAGGCGTGCCAGTACTACGTGGCGCAATCACAGACTGAAACCTTTAGACCCCGGACGCCGAGTCGGATTGAGTGACCGAGAGTGCATTCAATTCGATCGTCCAGTCAGCTACTGCTAAATATATTGGTCAGACGATTTAGAGAGGGGAGGGTTCGTCCTTCTATAATGGGTTCTATAATGCCTTCGGAAGTCGAAGGTCTTTCCAAATTTAGAGGCAAAGTTGAGTGTGATAGTGTGATGTGTGTTGGATGTGAGATAGACAGAAATGATAAACATAAAATGATAATTGGAACTGATTGAAAGTAATTGGAAAAGATAATTTACAAACTATCATGTGATTGAAGTGAGTTGCAGAGACAAATACAAAGTTCAACTGATTGAAGTGAGTTTCAATAACTGTTCCCACCAATTTTTTATATTGATGCCATTTGATTTTGCCAAGTGTCTTTGAGAGTAACTGTTCCTTGATCGAGCCTTCATCTATCCTTATCTTCTTTTGTCACGTATGAGCTTTGTTGGCAATTAAGATAATTGTCTTATCTACTGATTCTATTATTTATCTTCTGCTATGTGTCTCACGTATGACAGTTATAACTTTCACATAACCATGATCTCAACCCTTAATGATTGCCATGTGTCTCACGTACTTTACCATTGATGACTGTCACGTGCCCCCACATACTTGACCTTCGATGACTGCTACATGTCCCGAGGTTGACCAATCATGACCGAAGTTGACTTCGGCCATTCTTCGGTCATTGACTGAAATTCATGGCCGAAAGTTTTTTCGGTCACTTTTTTATTGATCGAAATTCATGACCAAAATTAGAGTGCATTTATTCAGTAATGACTTCGGTCATCTGTTGGTTGATAAAAAGTTTACCAAGTGTCATAATCTTACCCGTCCATTCAGGGTGTAAGATTTTGGTGTAAACACAATGGTAATATGGGTTACTCATGAATGTTAACTTGGAAAAAATTAGCAGTCATAGGTAAGTGTGGGCAACAATGGATGGTGCAGTTGGCTAGGGCACGTTCGACATCATTCCCAAGGAACAATTCTCTATTCACTGGGAATAGAAACACAAGAGTTTCTATTCCCGGGGATTGTTCCTTGGGAGTGATACCAAACGGGCCCTAGCATCTTAGGAATGCTCCCTGTGGTTGTGTTCAACTCCCACTTCTCGATTTACCTTGGTATCGGTAGGGAAAAATTCTGAGGGGGTCAATGCAAACACTCGAGGGGACTAGTCCCCACCTCGAAGCGTTACCCCAAAAAAATGGATGGGGCATCATTATTGTCTGTCATTATGGAACTTTTGGAAAATAAGTTGGCAAGATGAGCTAACAACTTCCTATAAATGATATCAACAACACCCCTATAGTGCACCACCCAAAAAAAGAAAAAAGTGTGAAGATGTTTGGTCAATATTCATATTCTAGGGTTGTCGATGTTAAGATTTGCTGTTTGCTCTTCTAAAATCATATCCTCAACAAAGCTCCTTATGGCCCTACTGTTGCACAGAACTGCAGATGTTTGGTCTTTTGTATTCATGTCTGTTGAAACGAACTCAAAAATTACCATCCAGCCATTCAAAAAGTAAGCATCTGCTCATGGGCCCTGGGATGTCAGATTAGCAAGAGATACAGAGAAGCAAATTCTGGTGTCGACTGGCTCCACAAAATCGCCCCAGAATCTTGGGTTGTCAATGGGCCGAATTCGGACCTAAAAAAACTCTTGTAAAAGGGCCGGACTCGGGCCAGACCTATTCAAAAAAAAAAGTCAGGCCCAACCCATTGACACCCTTCCCGGAATCCCAACCAGTCAGCCGGAAATGGACACTGCACCTCACAAGCCTAACCTTGCTATGATTTAATGATATCGTCTACAACGCCATGGCTGTTATCAAACATTGTGTAGAATTCCCAAATTTTGAAGTTACTAAAGCTGAATTCTCTAAGCATCTCATGCAATACAGAATAGATTTAAAAAAAAAAAAAAAATTCTTGTAATTTACACTGAAATCAACCTCCAATGGTGTTTAATCCAATATTCACAATATGTACCATCTCCTATGTTTGTATGAGGCAGCAACAAAGACACTCCTTAAGGCATAACTCAAACTAACATTTATGTTCAAGAGAAATGGAGGACATGAAAAAAAATTCCCAGCAATGATCTTTACAGCACAAATTAATTGTGGACCGCATGGCTTTACAAGAGAGTTTGTACTTACAGAGAGTCATCACCATTGAAATGGTCCATCTCTATCAGCTAGCTGTGTCAAGGGGCTGGATTTTTTCTTCGTATTTTTGTGATTTTTAATAGGCCAGGACCAAGCCCGGCCCGTTTGGCCCACCATTGACACCTATACACTTCTTGTTTGGGTTGGATGGGAATACCTAGAGTCTTCCAAGTATCAATGAAGAAAAATTTGCTATCTAGTCATTTTCATTTTTCTCTTTCATCTGTAACCAAAGTCAAAAGTGGTAGGCTACCAGAAAAAAAGCCTTTGAATTAGCTCAATACAAGAGGCAGGATCTTCAAATTCAATACAGGAAAATATGTTCAGCATAACCACTGGCTTAACTTGTCTAAGCCAGACTTGACTTGACTTGACCAACAGCTACAACCACCGGAAGTAGATGAACAACTATAAGTATTTTTCACAAACGTGGTAAATTTCCTATTGATTTGGCAAATTCAAACTCAGTAGAGAAAAGATCAATTTCGAGACGAGTCCATCAATCTGCCCATTCAAACTGTATAAAAATTATCAAAATCTGCATACAAATGAACTAACAAAGTACAGTAACATCATACAGCCCATGGATTTTCAGGGTACTTGATAAACTGATAAGAGTTCTATCAAAAAACTGTAAAAGAAAATAACCCAGGCTTTGTAAATTTGGAAAATCAAAACTAGAATATAAGCTTCTTTACACAAAAAAGGAAAAAAAATGTATATACAAGTCCCTTTTAT